TTCTAGGTATCCCTACATTTATTAGCGACTTTTGGTTCAAGTCCCTCTCCCGACTCACCCGGGTTCTACAATCCATCCACCACAGGCCTCCCAGAAGGGGACAGCATGTCAGTAGTGGGTATGCTAGCCCTTAGTTTTGTGTTTCACGCAAAACTAAAGTCACCACGAGTCCATCCATATGCATATGCCGACAACTGGTCGTTCATGTCGACGTCCGAAAGGCACTGCTTCTATGCCATGCAGACCTTGCTCAACTTGGTATCCGACCTCCGTATGCAAATTGACTTTAATAAGTCCTGGTGTTGGGCAACTACTAAAGCATTCCGCATGTTCTGGACACAGGCATCGGCCTTGCTAGTGAGACTTCGTGTTTGCCATCAAAAGTCATGTCCATGACCTCGGGTGCAACATTGCCTACACCAATGCTGTAGTCCTCGGCCCACTTCGTGATAAAATGGATAATGCAGTTGCCAAACGCAACCGGCTCAGACGTTTACATCTCTCACTTGAAGAAAGAGCGGAAAAAATACAAACTGCGATTTGGCCGGCGGTCTTCTATGGTGCACTAGGCCAAACCATAGGCACCAAGCACTTTACCACATTGCGAAGAGCTGCCACTACGGTTCTTGTAGGCGACCATAAACATGCGTCAAGCATCATTGCCACCGAATTTCTCACGCACAAAGTTCAGGACCCTCTCCTGTATATAGTTGCTGACATGTTGTGCACATTGAGACGCTTGTTCGTATACCACCCGGACATGGCCTCCCAAATAGTCACCACAGTTCGTACATTCACTGACAAAGTTAAAGGCCCAGCTAGTGCACTGGCATCGTACATGAAGGCCCTAGGGTGGGAACTCACGCATAATGCCACGGTTCTGGGCCCGGGTGGCCTGCACCTTAGCTTGCACGCAGCCTCCACCAAGCAAATCAAGCAGCAGCTTCGCAAGGGGGTCCCACCCCACCCCTTCGACTCATATACCACCAACCGCATACTGCACAAACTGACTGACCGCCAACGGCGTATCCTCGCACTCAGCATCACGTCAGGTTGGCAGTCGCTCGGTTGTAGGGCCGCATGGTCTGCCACACAATCACCAGAATGCCCCTGGTGTCATCAGTATGACACGCATACCCACCAGCTAATCCACTGCCCAGCATTTCAGCATGTCCGGGACGCACACCCTGAAGCAGTAAGCCATCTCACTGAACATCATTATGCCTGCTGGTTTCCACTACCACTCCATCACCCACAAATCGAACTTGTCCGCCAAGCCATGCACCTTCGGCACCACAACCTTACGATCCATGACCACCTTCGGTTGTCACCCAACGCAATCATATACACAGATGGCACATGTGACGACACGAGAGATCCTTACTCAGCCAGGGCGGCATGGGCGGCCATCCTGTATAATGCCCACGGGTCCCTCACCCAAGACAATCCATATCAAGTCCTTGCCGCGGGCCACTGTCCAGGGCCGCAAACCATCAACCGTTCAGAACTTTTTGCCATGGTTATCGCAGTCGAGTATGCTGCTATAGATAATCACATCACACCAGTCACCTTCGTCACAGATTCGCAGTTCGTGGTTGACAGCATCAACCATATTGAAGATGGTACCATCTCCAATAATCCCCATAAGAAATCCCATTGGGACCTCCTCAACCGACTTACCCGTGTTTGGGACACATGCCGATTTACGATACTCAAGATTAAATCACATTCCGACATCAGTAGGGCATCTTCCCACCAAGAAGCTATGCACATCCGAGGCAACGATATGGCCGATCATGTCGCTGCCCGTGTTCGGACCACCGATGATCCCTCCTTTGATGCCCTTTGTAAAGAGATAAGAGCCTTTAGGCAAAACCAACAAGCTATATTTGCCAAGATCTATATGTACCTGCTCGATATCGCCTATGCCCGAATGAATAAACTGGAAGAAAATTCTACCAAACCTCCGCTCCACTCGCCAGACGGCCCCCTGGCTGCGGCCGAAGTCGATGTGTTCGCTGTACTTGGGAACCACGAGGTGAACCCTTCGCCCTTCCAGCAGAGCCGCACCGTGTAGTGTTCTGGTGTAGCACTTGGGGGGCCAACATTACCCATCTCGTGTGGCAATTCTGTAATCACCTTGTTTGGCCTCATCCGGATTCAGTGTTGCAACCTGGTGATCCAGGTATCTCTTGGACAGAACTAGCGATCTCATTCATGCTTTGGTCTCATCAGCATCTACCCATTAGGGTCAAGGATCCCAAAGGCTATCGGTATCTCCAATACACAGACCCTACTGTACTCTTGCTACCTGTCAAAGCCCGATCTGTGCGAGTTCTTGCTGAAAATTTCCGATGGATTGTTAAGCATATACAGACCTTTTCCCGCACATGTCTCGTCCCGCGATATAAAAAACAGGGTACATCTAGCCTGACCCGACTGGGATTTACATCAGATAACGAAGGGGGGGTGTCTCGACGGCCTCGCTTACCAAATGCGGAGGTCACATACACATACATCCATGATATGCTCAAGACCATGCCTCACAACCCCCCATTCCATACAGATTTTGCGCTACCAGAATTACCTAGTCAGAATGATCCTCCCCCGTGGCCGAACTGGCCAGAGGTCACGGCTTCGAAGCGTGACGCATTCGTGCAACATGTCCGCTATGCCCTCTTTAAGAAAAAGAACTTCGATACAATATGTCACCCGGACGCCCCATGAATTCACCGTTTGCATCTGTGCCTAATTAGGAATTTGATGGGTGTGCCACATGAACAGGTGTCAAGTCTCACGTCGTGTCAACCTGCTTCAATTGGCAAAATACACCACCACGAAACCCCCCAATCTTGCAGGTCACATTGTGCCCGTAGTGGATTGTGTGTCCATAGGCGGTTGGTGCGTTTTTCGACAATTCAGCATGAACACAGTGTGACCTATGCCTTTCGTCTTGATTCATGTATTCGTGGTTGCTCGTGAGCGTTGATGAACACATCCCTTGTTCGATGACATCATTTCGTTGCAGTAGTTTTCTTGCATTCTGTTTGTATTTTGTACAGCGTAGAGGCTCATTCTGTTCACCTCCACCATCACCCCCTGGACAACCCGGGAAGGGGACGTGTGGAAGCGCCCGTTACAACGGTCCGCAAGTGCGTGCATTCAAACGGGAGGGTTTATGAACCAAGAGTCTACATCAGGGCATAGGAGTTTTGAGCTGCGCTTGTGGGCAAGTTGCACTGTTCATAACGCTTCAGAGCCACTGGTTGCCCTCGTCGGATCGTGGGGATGGAGGTGGCCCACGTCCCAGGCCTGGACATCTCCAATGAATGCAATGAATGGACCTGGCCTGGACACATGTTGTTGTTTTTTTGCCAACACTTTTGAGGATGAAGTAGAACTGGAAGGGGGAGGCAGCATGTTTCTACCTCCATCCACAGTCTAAGGGTTCTGAAAAACACAACTGGAAGGGCAGTGGGAGGTGCTTTCCAAAGAGCATCGACTCGGACAGGCCGCGAGCGCCGGCGACGGTCCAAGCCAGTGGGTTCGGAGCTCCATGGGACGTGCCATCCACACATCTCTGGGACGAACCGAACTATACTAGGTCCTCGGTGATGGTTTCGGATGTTTTTATGTTCAACCCTTACTTGTGATGATTGGACCCTCTGACTAATTGGTTTCAAGTGGGTTCAAAACACCAACTTGTATATATATATATATATATGTCCTTTACTGCTACGTGTTCCAAAAAAGCGGAATTCCGCCGATCGAGAGGCGCTGGAATTTGAGGATTTCGCTGGCGAACTGACACCGTGACACCATCGTCCATCGTTGCTTCACCGACCTGAGCTGGCACTGGAGTCGCTGAAGTGGTGGGGTGGAGCTCAGGTCGCTGGAGCCCAGATTTCAATTGGGGCATTCAAATCCCAAGTTCATCAATGTCTAGGCCTTGGAGAGGTGCTTCCAGCGCTGCGCTCGCGCAGAGAGATTTCGGATTTGACACGATCGTGGAAGAACCTTGAATGTCAAAAATTCAAAGACAATGACACTCTAAAGAGTCGGTCACGTTAAGTGCATTGTCACATTGCCGTATCTGAGAGTATCTGAAAGACTACTACCAGCTCAACTACGCCAAACTATGCTGACTGAGGCCTCACTGCGATCTGCAGAATGTCCACTGTTGTTTTTGGCTTCCTTGTCGCCAAAGGGCTCAAGCACAACCTGCTAGCATCGCGCGGGGTCTGTTGGCCATATCTTAGTGGCCTTGTGCTGGAGCCAGTGTCGTTGCAGCAGGGTCTCGGAATGGTGCTAAAGGCAGGCTACACTGGGCGCGCAAAGCCAATGGGATACCCAAGATCCTTACACCACCACTTTGGAAATTCAGTGCTGTCGAGGTGACCAGCGCAACCGAGCTTAAAAGCGGCCCGAGGCCAGTAGCATTTGGATCGAAGCCAGATTCGCTGTGGCTACCCCCCAAGATCGCTGCAATTTGCTGTGCAACTTCTTCCGAAGCACCGTCTCGAAGATGCACAAACGCTGTGCACATTTTTCCCGGAAAGTAGCGTCCTTGCCTTGTAACCCTGACCTCCTGGATCAAGTCGGCCGCATCAGCATTGAGATTCGACACGCGCTCCACCAGGTTCGAAGCTTTGGTGCTCCAATCCAAATCTCGAATCATCACCTGGTGATTCACCATTGCGGGCAAACAAAACTTCGGCAGATCGAAGAAAATAGAGATCGAAGAAGATGTAGAAATACCACACACTGTCGAAAATTTGTTGAGGGTTCGTTGAGATGTTGTTGAGATGTTGCCTTGCAATTCACTTTGCTCCGGGTGAGACAAAGTGAGTCCTGTGATGTCTTGTGAGGCTTATGTTGAGCCATGCCCTATTTTCCTGTTGTGGTCATGGAATTGGCGGCAATGGAATTTTTGGCCTATGCCCTTTTTGAGAGACCTTGAAAGGCATGAATCCAACGGCTCCGAGCCCCCCCAGCTCCAGGTCTCAGACGAGCGATCCATTTTGGTGAGGCGGGCGCTTGCGGCGCTTGCGGCGCGCCGATACCACTACCATGTGAATTGTTGGGCCCCGTGCGAAAGAACCACCGTCATTGGAATCAAGAGGCGGCATCAAATTGGAACCTTGGAAGTCTGTTCTGCCAATGTGGTATTTGTTTTGCCCGTGCCAACTCCAACACCCCCGCTGGTTTTATCGGTTTGTTTTGTGTATTTCAAATCACGTCATTTGTTTACATCAGTTCCATTTTGCATCATCGTTTTCTTCCTCTTTGCTTCACTCTTGCAGTCCATGTTGCATTTTGGTTGCAGGTGATGAATGAATTCGGTTCACTGTTAATTGTCATGGAAAATTTGTTTTTTTGGACCACTGGAGGAGGTATTCATGTCGGTGAGCACTACACTCTCATTTGTGTCAAGGCCACCTCACTCGTCATACTAGTTTTGTACTGATTTGTTTTGTGCCCATCCACAGCAGGATTGATAAGAATTTACATTCAGATAAAGGAATTGGTTCCGTGTCGCGTGTCCCTTTTGCCCTCGCACAATCTGGAGCCAACACTGTTTATCTTGTGTGATGAACAATAGATGGGTGTGTTTTTCATTGTTGTTGTTTCTGCAGCAAATGTTTTTTGTGCGTGGATATGTGATGTTTATATTATATGTAATTGCCCTGTGAGCTTTGAAACCACCGCCGTTTTTTAATGCTTAGTTCAGTTATATATATATATATGTATATGGTGATAAACCACAATCTGTGTGGTAGAGTTTAGGAAGATTCCTAATCAGTGGCTGGTTCGGATCAGACGTCCGCGACTAAAACTAGACTCCATGATTGGGATTTTCTTAATCTTCCGGTTAGCATCCTTTCATGGCCATGTTTCATACAGCCCACCATTTGCAATACCCTTTGATTCCAAGTGTGAGACTCCCGATTGCGGTCGCCAATATGCCCAAACGATGTTTGTCACAAATGACCCAACAAGGGATGATTCTGCCCTTGCAATCAAAAACAAAAGAGGGCTTTGCCTTGTGGGATTAACCTCCATGTATACCAATAGTCCTTGTTAAGTGATGTGTGTTGGCAAGAAGCGTGACGGAGACTGCAACTGCAACCAGCCAAAGCTTAAAATTGCATCACATTTGTTGAAGGCACAATGTGTATGTCTACAAGGGTGTTTCAAGTCAAATGCCTTGTGAGGTTTAACATTTGGAGATAGAATTCACCGGGACACTCAAGCATAACATCCTCAATTAACATATTTCCATCAAAGCTCACTGGCCAGATCCTGGCATCTAGATACTATGTCATGTGGCGCACGTGTTCTCGTGCGACTACTTGAAAGATCTGTCCGGGACATTTGGACAGCGGCCCATGGAACCACGAACGATGTATCCAGTAAAATATCTCCTCAGATTGGTCCGGCTGATCTACAAGTTTTGTAGACACTTGTTCAGCGGGGACGAGCAATTTCCAGTGCACCACTTCAAGAAGATCCACGTGACACGCTAGAGATCTATAAAGCGTTCCCATATCTTGGTGTTGATTCGTTTTATCCCCTGGTCATCTCCATCAGCTAGACATGGCGCATTTCCACCACATGCGTTTTAGGCATTTAGGTGATCAATCTATGGTGCCGCCAGGGTGGGCAGTGGCCATCAATGGCGGAAGTACATCTTCGACGCGTGTTTGCCTGAGGACCGCGCGCAGAAGCAGGTGGCGGGGCGCACGGATCGCAGGAAGCTACGCTCGGATGACCAGAGGAATCAAGCGATTGACGTTCCGGATCGTGTCGCGAAGGTTGTCCCAGACACTCCATGGGACTGCCATATATGCCTACATTGGGGTGGTTTGGGGGTGTGTTGATCATTTGCCGCAATGCTGGTCGTGTCGTGATGGAGAAGGTTTGAGAGGTCATGTTGGAAGGAAACCATTTTAAAGGTACGATAATATCATGTAGTTTGGTGATGTTATTGTTCTACATTATTTTATTCACTTGGAAGTTTAAAGGCAACTTCCATCACTTCCATAGCGAAGCCTACTTCACGTTAATTATTGTTTGGTGATGGAAGGTTGCCTTGGTGTCACTCTTCAGGCGAAAAACGAGTCTCCTTTCGTGTGCAGTTGCTTGCGCCCAAATGTCCAAGCTGCGACTGCTATATTTAGAGCTGCTGGTCTTCTTAAAGTAAGATACACCCCTAGCATCTCCTAACCTTGAAAGACCATGTTCCCTTGCGCTTCCATGGGGTGAACCGCGCTTCAAACTGTTAGTTCCAGGGAGAGAGAGCCCGATGGACATCGATGAACTATCCCTAGACATCCGTTCGACCATTAAAACAATGGTTGACCCGGTTTTTGTAGTGTCAAATCCTTAGTTGATTCGGTAAAGCCTATTAAATTAATGGTTGTTGGAAGCCTATAGGGTATCTATTTGTCAGTTTTCTTGACATCTTGCCAGGTCTTTCAGGACAGCGGTGTGAGCTATTTGCTGGACGAGGCCTTGGCTGGCTATTCGGTGCGGGAGCCTGACGTGTGTTTCACCAGAGGTTGTCGTCGAAAAGGAGAGTTCATCAAACCGAAGAGTTTTTGGAACTTTTGTCATCAAAGCGAAGAGTTTCAGAGTAGATGGCACAGACCTCAAGATGTCCTTTACATGGTGGTTCATATAAACCACCTCTTGGGGTTTGTACCATCTACTCTCAATCCACTATAGTTTGCCTTTCTCGGGGAATGCCCGGCATGATTGATGTGTCTACTTGCAAATGAACCTGCGGAAGACGTGCATGTCCGCTGCTTGTATGTGGCAAATCAAAGTAAACATGTAGAATTTCTACGTAATTAGGAGGTATGCACTTACTCTACGTTTATTTTTTATAACGGAGAGCTGCTTATTTTGACAAAGCTTCACTGTCAACTGTCAGGGGAAAATGGGTTTGATCAAGTTTGATCAGCACTGATTTCCTTGAGATGTCAGTCATTGTTGCGTTTTGGCGCACATGTACAACGAGTACAACGGTACGGGTTCCTCAGTTCCTTTCTGGGTGCTTTCTGACAAAGAAAAACAAAACTGTTCATTGACCCTCTGACAAGGCCTGGGCCTTGGCCGTTCATTGACCCTCTTGGGCTCTGACGTCACAGTGGTTTCAACTTCCGTCGGAGTGACTCGGGTTGGATCAATGGAGAGATGCAAAACGGATCTTCTTCGTCGGCGACGGAGGACGGTCAAGTGGACGTTGCAACAGGTGTGGGTGTGACATATAGAACTCCATCACCGAGTCCTAAGGAGTCCTACGAAACACCCGGGAAGAGAAGTTCCACATGGAAGCGGAAGACGACCTGACTGGAAGACGACTTTCCGAATACCAAACCAGTGGTTTTCAGGTTCCATGTCAATCTTCCAGAGTGTAACTTATTAAATCGAGTCCTTAAGAGTTTGTGGAGACAGATAAATCCTTCTCAGATGCTGATCTATCTCCGGCCACGGTCCCGTAGATGTGCGTTCTGAAAGACGCCCTCGACTTCCAACCCACGAAAAAAAAAAAAAAAAAAGTTGCTTTTTCCGCATGTGCTGATTCTCCTCGGTGAACATCAGGCCACGGTGTTGGCCTATGGGCAGACCGGAAGTGGCAAGACCTACACCATGGTGCCGCAGCCGAAGTTCCGGGGTGTTCGGGGTGTGGCAGCGGTCGAGTGGCGAGTTCGGTGGCGCATGGAGTCCAGTCCAAGACCATGTCTAAAACGGTGGTGCCAAGATTCGTCCAAGACAGTCCAAGGAGTTTCCTTTATTCTTGGGTGCCAAAAGTAGTCTTTGGACTTCTAGGAAATTGGTTGTGGGTCTTGATATTTGTTTTTGTTTTTTTTACATATAATGGATCTCACTGGTTCTACCACTTGACTGGTCATGCTCCATACATTGATATAGGGATTGTTCAACCATGGGCACTGGAAAACGGGAAACACGAGTGCAGCTGGAGGGATGAACTTCTCTCCAAAGGTTATCAGGGCAGAAGGGCTGATCCTTAGACACTCAATGTGTTGGAGCTTTCCCCTTTTGCACTCCGGATGAATCCCACCGTTCACAGGACCCAACAGCCACATATCATTACTACACCTTTGGATGTAAATGTCAAGGGATTCTTCTGGAACGTGACCTTGTTTTCAGAACTCAGGTCTTCAAGGCACCAAAGGCGCAGGTCCCACCACTCCTTCCGCTCCTTCTTCTCTGACCCCGGTGCTCCTTCCGCCGCTCCGGCTCCTCTCCATGCTGCTCCTTGCAACCTCCCAAGCTTGCAACCCATGCAGATCCGTCCCATGACCTCTCTCGGAAGCTTCGTTCCTGGACCGAGCACCACACACCCCAGCTGAGACTCAGCAGGGCTTTGCCGGCTCTTGTTTCGGATCTCTTCAAGGGTCTGAATCAGTGAGAGAAGTATGTGGACAAGGCTCAAAAACATGCTAAATGCATCCGTTTTTCCGGGAAAAAAACTCTAAGGTTTGATTGCCAACCACCTCAAGTGGTCTAACTGCTCAGATCTAATTCTCTCAGGCGTTTCCCTCAAAATATTGTTCTGGCTTGTGGCGGTTTCCCATACATATACTTCATGATATGTCTTCTTTGGGTTGCAAGACATGTATGCCATGTAGGTACGCGGTACCCTTTTGCGTCCGTCCCAGTTTCGCTCCGCTCAGATGGGTCGCTCCGTCTCCAGCGAGCGAAGCTCCCCCGACGAGGCGAAGGGGGCGAAGCGACGCGAACGGGGCGGAGGAGGTTTGGAGGTGTCCAAAGACGGAGGTTCTCCAAGTCAGAGAAGAATGTTATAAGCCTTATAAGCCTCCAGGTTTGGGAGAAGATGTTATTATAGCCCTCAGGTTTTGGAGAAGATGTATATTATGACTCTCAGGTTTTGGAGAAGATGTTATGACGATCAGGGTTTGGGAGAAGACGTTAAAACAATCAGGTTGGAAGATGATTCGAAGTCTTGAAGTACTTCACCCTACCCCGCCGGTTAGAGAAGACCATTGGAAATTCCCACCCTGCGCCCCCAAGGTTGGGAAGATGGTTGGAATTGGGTGCGCAAGTGAGTGCAAAGAGTTGTGAAGTTGTGGGGTGCCCAATTGGTGCGCCCCTTACACCGCTAAGGGACCGACAGGACACCCCGGACGAAGGTCCAGGTAAGGGAAAGATTCTGTGAGGTTAGACAGGAAAAGGTTGACAAGATCATGCCCTAGGGATCCAAGTACCTCCTCAGAAGGTATTTGAACCCTCCAAACCCAGCCCAAACACCTTCTCAGAAGGTAGTTGGATCCCTATGGATGGGTTGACGATGGTTGATATGTCCTGGTGGATAAGCCCTTCAGGGGACGCTGACATTGAGAAGGCTCGTGGCTGGCAACTGGAGGACCTCCTGCGTGATATGTGCGAACGAGCACGTGGTGAACGTGGCCCAATCAAAGACAAATTTGAACATGCTATTGGATTTTCAGAGCTCAACGCCAAAAAGAGCGAAAACCCTTTGGTCGAAAATCCCGTTGTAACACAAATCCACACCCCGCGCTGTTTCCACGTTCCACGGCTTCCGTCCTCACTTGTTCCTTGTCCTTCCGTTCAGTTTTCCAAGAAGAGCGACGACGGCCTCATCCTCCGTGCGGCCCGACGGCTCTTCCGGCAGATGGGCACCTTGGATGGTTTTTGCGGCGGCGATGGCTCTTCAGAGGGGTGAAAATGGGTGGTGGAGGTAGTTGGGAGTGGTAAAGAAGGAAATGACACGTGCTGACAAGAGCATATATTGTGCTAAAGTTAAGTTATATATGTGTTTCACAACATGTTAACGCGCCTGCGAAAAGCATGTTGTGACTGTGACACGAGCATGGTGTTCAAGTTCTTCTTTAATAGACATGCACGTATTAATTACTGACTTTCGAAAAGCATGTTGTGACCGTGAGAGACATACTCTCGAGTACGGTCCGCTCCATAGTTTGCATAATATACTGTAATGAATGCATGTGACAAACAGTGTGTATGTCATGAGGTCCTGCACAGTTTGGTAGGTGAAATGTAGCATGGTTTACCACTAATGGCAACAGGTGTGCGCTTCCTAGGTTCGAGCTTCTAGCAAGCCGCTGGTTGTGGTGTTGCAGGCAAGTGGTGTGCCTGGTAGCATGTCCAATGATTGTTCCATATAATGTCCAGCGTATTCTCCCCAGCTGGAATTTTCCACAACAATCATGGTCGGGTTCCACGTGGGGAGACCATGATTCTTTTCATCAATGAACTGATTGAGGACGCTTCAGACCACATTTAAGTTGGCTTTTGACCGGGGCGAACCTAGGTGTGGATGTTGGGGGAGATGTTTGGGATGAGGTGTCGGAGATTTGCGGCCAGCTTGTTCATCCAATATCGAGCCAGGAGATCTGCGACTGACCCACATGGAAGTCTATGGCATTGCGTTTGGTATTCGGAAAAGGGTGTTTGAGGGGAAATTGTCTTTCCGCTTCTGGGGAAAAGCATCAATGAAGGTTGCACTCTAAAGCTACCCATGTTGTGGTCGAAAACTTCGGGTGGAATAGCCCAACTCAGTTAAACACTGCAGTGGACTTTTGCTTGGCCAGAAAAACGAGGAGATTTGGGTATCACGCATTGTTCCCATGGGCACATCGGCCATCAACTCTGCTGTTTCTCCCCACCCCCCAAGAAATCTTCCGAACACCGTTCGATCAGTTGATACACTGATCAGTATTCCAATGTATTCGATTCAGTTTTGCTGGTCCGAAAAGAAGTACCAGATCAGTGAACAACTGCTCCCTTTGGGACGCTCCATTCAGTTCAGCTGAACTAGGTCAGGGCCATCCCAGAGTGCCACAGGGGTGGTGGTGTCTACAGTATGTGCTTATTGTTTATTTGTTTAGTTATATATATATATATCAAAGGTATTTGTCTTGTTGATTTGTGTTGTTTATTTATTTGGAGGCTCATCTAGCCTGAACCGGGTGTCCTCCAAATAGCGAGTGGGTGTCCAAATTTCTACCCGTCCGGTAGACTCCAAAGCACAAGCTGGCAGCTTTTTCCACGGACTCGCAGAATTTGCTGCAATTTGCAAACAATCAGCACTTGCACGCATCACGTGGCATCCCATTCAAAACCATAATGATAGCAAATAGCACCAAGTTCAATTACCAGGCTCCATGCGCACATTGCAACCAAGCCAGCAGGTCAAAAGGTTAAATGTTCGCTTATGCTATTTTTCACTTTGATCGTCCATGTGACGCGATATTGTGCCCCCGCTACCACATCGCCTCAACAAGTTGCGGCTCTAAGAATCACGAAGCTTCAAGGCAACCTGCAACGGACGCGACCGTTTTACTCGAACAACTCTCACCTCGTCCTAAAGCCCTCCAGAAGCTTAAAGCTTCAAGAAGCACACACCACAAACTCAAACAGGTTGCGGCTGCCAGTAAACGAGCACACAGGCTGCCAGCTAGCTGGCAGTCAAATAGCCTACCAAGGTTAAGCGCACCCAGCTCAAAGCCCCGGCCCTTCTGCTTTGGTCTTTGTTGGAAACTGAGGTGTCCTTACTGAACCAACACAATTTAACAGTAAAATCGTGACAAGTCCTTTACGCCAAACAGGTTTTGCAACACCTCATTACTCCAAGTGCAAAGCGGTTGGACCCTAGGTATACCAAGTGTTCGAGGTTTTCCTGGCCAAAAAGATTTGGCTAGCTATATTTTGACGGGTTTTCCTGGCCAAATGGATTTGGCTAGTCAAATTGCGACGGGTTTTCCCGGCCAAATGGATTTGGCTGGTCAAATTGCGACGGGTTTTTTTATAAACCCATCACATTTTTGGTGGCCAAATCCATTTGGCTGAGTGGTTTTGCTCAGAAAACCCATCACAATCTGGAAGCTCGGCTGGCCCCAGAAAAGCGATGGGTTTTTTAAAAAACCCATCACAAATCCATAGGTTTTGGAAAAACCCATCACTTTTTGAAGTTGGGGATGAGCTGGAAAGTTTGACGGGTTTTCGTTTTCCTTATTTAATTGCGACGGGTTTTTCAAAAAACCCATCACATTTTGGGGCTGGGGCCCCGGTCTGAAACGTGACGGGTTTTCCCGGCCAAATCAATTTGGCTGGCAAAATTGTGACGGGTTTTCCGTCTCCAACTCATTCATTCCTGCAAGGCCCCATTGATCGAGCTTGGCCGGGCGCAAGGCACTGAAGCTTCGGGCGCACATTATTGCACCTACAAGCTTCAGGGGGTTGCATCCGACTGCTCCAATTATAATCTTCCAATTTAAGATCGTTGAGCCTCCGCTCCTGAGCACCAATACAAGGTAAATGTCAAACCGAGAAAGTTTCACGTCCAAGCTGGGCATATTGAGCAATCAGCATATAAGCGCAGTGGTTGGTGCTTCCAGCTGGCTCAGGCAATCCTCGGGGCCGCACAGACCTACATCAACAAATGACTCCGCAGAGGGTCGAGAAAGATCTGGCAAATAGTGTGAAGTACGAGTTGGACCTATTGAAGTTGCAACGTCCCGGTCAAAGTCAAGCCTTTCTTTTTGCAGCTCCAACAGGTCCACGTTCTCCATGCAAGTGCTTTAAAAATCTTGAAGCGAAAGCTCTATCAAAATGTGGCGCAAAACTTTTGAAATAGTGGTGCTTGGCTGTGGCGCCAGAAGTGGTGGATTATGTTCGTGGTTGTGAGGAAGGAGATGGTCTCTGCAGACTCTTCACACGTAACGTCTCCATCATCATCATATCTCCACGCTGGCATGGCTGCCCACTACGACGAAGTCTAAATTCTTGAAGTTCCATGACTGTATATATAGGTCAGTCTTGAGTGTATCAGGCGCATGTGGATGTTGCCTCATCCTTAGAGCTCTTTGCACCAAATAAACTACATGGCTGCGTTACATGCTTTTAACCGAGCCAGCAAGAAACTTGACAACAAGGTTCTATTCTAAATCAAACACCCACTTGCTATTTGGAAGACACCCGGTTCAAGCTAGATGAGCCTTTGGATAGTGGGGTGGTTTTGCTAATTACATCTAATCACGGATCTACATGATCATTGTAGTATTTTTGTTATTACGGATCATTGCGGATTGTAGTATGATGGCTCCTAATGACGGATCTACGTGTTTGCACCCCAAAATGGCCGGTCCAAGCCCTTGTGCTTCGGCACTGAGGTGAGATGTCCAACATGCGCGTGTCTGCTGGGAACTCAGCAAACGAATGCAGGATGCATGGGTGGGCAGTTGGGTTGGCTGGGGATTTGGCTGGAATCGAAGGACTCCGTCACAATGAAAAACACACAAACAGAGATACATGCAGAGTTGTTGATGCTTTCGGATGCTTTTGGTGGCAAGTGGGGTACCATAGGGTATCTAATCGAGTTTGGGCGGAAAAGGCAGTGATGGCAACGATCGAATCCTCCTTGTCCTGTACATTCGTCTCACCTGTGAATCCACGATGCCAACGATCCGATGATGATACATCATGTTGAACGCCAGGTTGCGGAAGCAGAGGTTAGACCAGAATAGGCTAAAGTGCTAACTGAGTTCGAGCAGATACCTTTGAATGTGAGACATAAAGAATAGGCTAACTCAGTTCAAGCACGTACATTCACCAGACGACAAGAAAAAGACTGGACACTGGACTCCTTTTTGAGAAAGAACCATCCAACAAGTGCAAACTGAGTTGGGGGGCAACCAGGACCCAAGTTCTACGTGACTTCGCGCAATTCAAGACCATGGGAATGGAGGACTGACCTGCTATTCATTGAAGCCTCAAGCCCCAAAAAGGCAGATCAGATCCCGAAAAGCCTGAAAGCGAGCAACGCCATGGCACATTAAAAGAAAGGCCCCCAGTCATGCCCAGTTCGATTGACACCTTCTGAGAAAATCCTCCTCACTCCTCAGCATCATCCAGATGTACAGATACCGAATGATACCGATACCTATATATACTGGGCCTGGTCATACTACGGAAAGTTTCATACAGTCAAGGACTCAAGGACCAGTTTTACTCAGTCTTGGAACTTGTAGGGTGTCTATATTATATACACTAGTCCTTTAGAAGACTTGTACCAACTCAGAACTCCCCCTACAACCGGTCTACGTCGCGAAGCGTTCACGGGGGCGTCCACGTCGCGAAGGTCACGGCCTCCTTCGCGGAGATCTTCAACGCCCCAGGGGCAGTGAACGAGTGCGGAACCCCGGGGGCATCGGGGAGATCGGGGAGATCGGGGCATTTGGATGAAGGAAAAGTTGGAAAGTTTGGATGAAGGAAAAGAGCACAGAACAAGAACTGTGCGGAAAAGCGAACAGAAAAGCTTGGAAGTACAGGAAAGTGTGTACTATAGATGGTAGTGCAGGACCAGTCTCGCATTGTCGCTTTGGATCTTTGTCGTGGTGGTATGAGAGACCCCTTGACACCCTTCGCATTCCATGGTGGTGTCCTTGTAGCTGGGAGTTGTTTGACCAACTTGGCCACGTTCAACCATCCTACAGCTGCAGCGGTCGTTCTCAGGTTTTCCTGTGCTCCGGGACTTCCCCTCAAGTGGATGTGCTTGGAAGGGGCTTCCACGTCGTCTCATCCAGCCACACCGTTCAGAGGCCACCTTTCCAGCAACCGCTCCCTTTTTTCAAAGAGCTTGTTCCAGGGTGCAGGTTCAAGCATCTGGTGCATTACAAGGTTCAGTTTGGTTGGTATAGGGGA